GAGGACATCAAAGGAACTAGAATTAGGGATGAAAGTTATAAATTGCAAGCATTTGCGGATGATCTGGTTTTTATAACGGAGGAACCTTTTTCAACAATGCCCAAACTTCTACAACAGATTGAAGAATATGGTGAAGTTATGGGAATGAAAATAAATAGAGAAAAAACGAAATTGTTAGTTAAAAACCTTATACGAGAACAAAAAGAAAGACTCCAGGAACAAGTAGAATTGCAGATTGTTAAAAAGGTTAAATACTTGGGAATCTCTCTTACAGCTAAATGTATTACCTTGAAAGAAGACAATTATGATAAATTATTGAAGGATATTAAAGGCTTTTTGGAAAAGTGGGCCAATTTACAATTACCTTTGATGGGAAGAATAGTTCTTGTCAAAATGAATATATTACCTAAACTTTTGTTTTTGTTTCAAATGATTCCCATAAAAATTGATAAAAAATTCTTTGATGACTTAAACTTTCATATCTCGAGGTTTATCTGGAGAAAAAAAAAACCAAGGATTAAATTTAAAATGCTTCAGGAAGCTGAAAGAAATGGAGGTTTTGGTCTTCCTGATTGGATGTTGTATTATCAAACGTCTGTTTTAACTTGGTTAAAAGAATGGGTAACGTTGCGAAATAAGAGAATTTTGTATCTTGAAGGTCATGACTTGCAGATGGGATGGCATGCTCATATGTGGTATGAAAAAGCTAAGTCACATGGGTCCTTCCTGAGTCATTTTATTAGAAGATCTTTAATGTCAGTGTGGGAAAAACTAAAGCTAAAACTGTATAATAAGTTACCAAGATGGCTTTCACCTATGGAAGCTTTTGTATATCCAAACGTATTGAACTTTGAAAAGATCATAAGATATGGTGATATCCTGGATAAGGATGGTGACCTGAAACTGGAGCAAGAAATACAAGAACAGGGACTTAATATTTCCTGGTGGTATAAGGTGCAGATGCAATCAAGATATGCTAAGGATTGTAAAACATGGGGGTTCCATAGAGACCTAACAGAATTTGATCAAGTGATGCTTAAAACAGATGAGAAAATTATTAAAAGACTGTATGATTTTTTTACTTGACAGGAAAATGGAAGGGGAACAGGTTAAGGAAACTATGATAATATGGGCACAAAACTTTGGATTTAATGTTGAACTAGAAAAGTGGCTAAAACTATGGGAAAGAAACATTAAAGTAACTTAAGCAACTTCGTATAAAGAAAACTTACATAAAATGTTCTATAGATAGTATTTGTCACCAAGTCAACTAGCTAAGATGTTTCCAAATATGTCAAATAGATGTTGGAAATGTAAACATAAAGTCGGTACTTTTTATCATATGTGGTGGACTTGTGACAATGCAAAAAAGTACTGGATTAAAATACATAGATGGATGGAGGAAATATTAAAAAAAACTTTTGCTTTTAAACCCGAAGTTTTCTTGTTAGGCATTATACCAGAAGATGTTAACAGACAGGAAATCTATTTGATGTTGCATCTAATTACAGCGGCAAGGCTTGCATTTGCTCAAAATTGGAAAAGTGAGGAGCTGCCCACCGATGGATTGAGTGTAAGAAAGATCTTGGACTGCGCAGAAATGGATAGACTGACTTTATCGTTGAAGGAGAAAGAGGATACTGATTTCTATTGAACTTGGGACTCTTGGCTGGAGAAACGGGACTTGGCGTAAATTTAGAGATGTTTTTCAAACTATGATAAGCTAACTGGAATTTGATATTAGAATGTTAAAAAATATGTAGTAGGAGGTTGACCCAGTGAATCCAGTGTTACCCAAGGCTTCGGCAAGGGGCGGCATAGAAATGTTCTAACAATAATGATGATGATGATGATGATGTTTGTGATGCTTGATGGGTTTTTTTTAGTCTTAGTTTAAAAATTTATAAATATAAAAAAGAATTGGGAGGAATGATAAGCAGTGCAGAAAAAGCTACTCAAGGAAGGCTTTTTCAAAATCGCATTATTTTTAATGGCATTTTACCCGTATATTAGGGTTAGGGGAATGCACCAGGGCAGGGTTAGGCCAATGGTGGTGAATCTATGGGCTGTATGCTACAGCGGGCATGCAGAGCCCTCTCTGTCGCCATGTGAGCCAAGTCGCCCCAGCATCGCCCCAGCAGCCGAGCATTGGATACCAGCGCACATGGGGACCATGCGCATGCTCGGAAAGGAGTAGCGGCGCCCGGCAATGTTGTCACAAGCCATGACTCATTAGCCGCGACTCATCTGAACTTTCACATGGCAATTCAGCGTGCTGGCAGGTATGCTTGGGCCGCCTGTGAGGTGTTTTTTCTAAACTAAAAGCACAGTTCTCAGGTTTTTTTACAGTGTTGGCACTTTGCGATAAAGAAGTGGGTTTTGGGGTTCAATTTGGTCGCTTGGTATCTAAAAGGCTCACCATCACTGCCTTAAGGTATATGTTTCTAAGTTGCCTTTTAATTGCTCACCTATGGCAAGATATTATTTCTTCCAAGTGAACAGGGGAAGTGACCAGGTCTGGGGGAAGCTTTGTGGAAGTGAATTTCTTTTTAAAACCACAAATGCCTAGCAGAAAAGAGTACGGGACAGTGTTACCAACTCCTCCTCAAGGAGAACTGATGCCACCCCAAGCATTCTCTTCTCCTTGCCTTTAGCTCCATTCACCTGCCAGAATTCACCAGGAAGCCAGAAGAGAGCTGCACAGCAGCTCTGCCTCTAGTTCTTATGACCAGAAGGAAGCAACATGACTCTGTTGTTCAAAAGCACGTTTCCTAGACATCCTGGTTTGCCTTCTAAACAGGAAGCAAAGGTTTTCTTCAAATGGCAAATGGAGACATCCCGGGAAGAGAGGAACGTGAGCAGCCTTAGGGTGCTCCACAGGAAGGAACACAGTTCGGCCCTTGTGCTTCCTAAAGATGAATTTGAACATCACTTGCCACAAAGCTGTTTTGCCCTATGGCCTACTAACCACCACTGAGTGAGCAAAAGGTGACTGAGTGGCATGCAAGTCCAAAAAATTTATTTAAGGCAGGTGAAGGAACAGAAACATCCAGTGCTAGCTTTTCTATGACAGACATATTAATTACACAATGCAGAAACCTAACACTGGGCCAGAGAGATACCCCAGTGTGCAAAGGGGTTCCAGTGTGGTGCTGACCAACACCTGAAGATGAGGGCTTCCTCCCCCCCCCCCTTTTAAAAAGCTTACATGGATTTGTGCCAAATTCATGCTTCCACAAAAGCAGAGCAAGCATCCAAATGAAGTATCCAGTGGAAGGTGCACTCTATATGGCACCCCTTCAAATGTTACAATCATCGTAGGATCATCTATCTATTGTGACTTTTATCCTTCCAATGATGGGATATCAGTCTTTGAGCCATCAAGCCAGTGTGGCGTAGTGGTTAAGAGCATGGGACTGGGACTCAGAGGATCTGGGTTCTAGTCCCCGCTCGGCCATGGAGCCAACTGGGTGACTTTGGGCCAGTGACAGACTCTCCGCCCAACCTACCTCACAGGGTTGTTGTTGTGGGGATAAGATGGAGGAGGAGAATGATGTAAGCTGCCTTGAGCCCTTTGTAGGAAAAAGGCAGGAAAAAAAAAAATCAAGAATCTGCTTGTGCCGGCCATTTGCCCATCTGTACGAAGCGGGTGAATAATTTGGAAGCGCACACACACCAGTATAAAGCTGCTCTGTGCAATTACACCCCACAAAGAGGAGCAGCTACTGGGCACAACCAAAATGTGTTTGAACAAGGGCTGCACTGCGCCGTTGGCTGTTAGCCAAACAAGACAATCCCTTGAAGAGAGGCGGTGGCATCCGACAGACACAAAACAAAAGTTTCTGCTGAATAAATCACCACTCAAGACGCCCAAGGGCAACAGGTAGATGGCAAAGTGGTCGCCCATGGGCTAGGCATTTCGTGGAGGTGCCCACGGTTGCTTCAGAAATCCCCAAGGGGGTCCATGGGTCAAAAAATCCCAGGCCCTGTCCTATGACACCCCCTAGGTCAGGCCATGAGCCCCTGTGAGGCACAGCAATGCCCCGCCTGTCGCACCGCCAGCCCCTGCCTGCCCTGCGCCACCCGCGGGTCCTTTGCACAACTGGTCTCCCACATGCAGCAAAGGTACTTTGCTCACCGC